TCTGGAATGATATTTTTTTCTCATTCTTCTGGAACGATATAATTTTCTCCCCTAGCGGGAATATTGTCTTATCAAAATGACAGTCTGCAAACCATAAAATATCCCTAGTCAAGGTTTTTCCAAATATGAATGATAGATGGTTAATCAAATTCAACATAAAATTCCCAGTTTGTATCGATGCCTTATTTTATACATTAAAATTTAATAATTTATAACCAAAAACTCGAGTGTTTAATGTTTGGCTAGTGCCTAAACACGAGTTGTACTAAGAAATTTAATTTGTAACTTAGTGTCAAAATGCTTAATAGTGAATTCTTGTAAATTTCGTTTTCATGTCCATAAGTAGAAAACTTGCAATTTCGTTTCATGAGCAGAGCGTGGGTAATCAATTTCATCCGCTTAATAAAATGCTTCTACTAAACCATTTTAAGTATGGACATAAGGAACTTCTGGTCCTATTAAATAGTTTGTGGATTGAGACTTTTATGACCTTTATTACAATTAAGTTGAGGCACTGCGGCACTTCAAACTTAAGGTAATTATCAAGAAACTTCATGTCCGATCTTGAGGATCTAGGGATTTCATGCCTGATCTTTTTGCATGATGGAACTTGGGGTTCAATCATTTTTTATGTGATGAGGATCAAGAAACTTCAGGTTCTGATCTGATCAAGGAACTTTGGGTCTTATATATACTTATCGTAACAAAAGGTAAGTACAATAAATAAATTAAAGCAATAGGCAGTAATTCCAGACATAGTAAATAAATTGCATTTAAGTAAATAAAGCTTGTGACAAGGGCTTTAATTTAACACCATTCATATAAATCAAAACTTAAAGCAGTAGGCAGTAAAACTGTCCATGATAAATAAATTGCTTTAAAGTAAATAGAACTTGTGAAAGTGTTTTAAACCAACACCATTCACATAAATAAATATATATATATATATATATATATATATATATATTTCTTTCTTTTCTAATGGTACAAACACCATCCAAAAGCTTTTATGTCACATCCCGGCCTGGGGTGGACCACTTCCCAGGCCCGCTCCACCACCGTAGCACGATATTGTCCACTTTGGGCTTACCACGCCCTCACGATTTTGTTTCTGAGAACTCACGAGCAACTTCCCAAAGGGTCACCCATCCTGGGAGTGCTCTGGCCTCATTCTAGCTTAACTTCGGAGTTCCTACGAAACCTAAAGCCAGTGAGCTCCCAAAAGGCCTCGTGCTAGGTAGAGATGAGAATATACATTTAAGAATTACTCCCCTAGGTGGGTGATGTGGGATGTTACATTTTATCTTTTTTGTTTTTATTATTTCTTTTTCACATGTTGTGTCGGCATTATGCAACGAGATTCCACCCTTTTTTCATATAGCACCAAAACCCTTTTTATTATTTTTCATTCAAATGGTGCAGATGCATCATTAGAAACCTTTGTCCAAAAAGTCCACTTTTCCAATTCTTTTTCACACGGTGCTTGAAACACCATTCCATAATCCTTCCTTCATTTTTCTTATCTGTCTGTCTGTACTAGTCTTAAACCCAGGGCCATTTGGGTTGTTGTGGAGGTCACACAGAACCTATTCAATCTAATAAGGCTACCAGAGACTGGCGTTATTCTTGCATGGCCCAGAGAACATGGCGTCGCAAAGCAAGAACTTCCCTATAGGGACATAGATGACAGCGGAGTTGATGGAGGTACAAGAGAGGGAGGCATGTGTGGAGTCAGTCATGCCATCACCATCTCAGACAACCGATTATTCATGGGAGTTCTCGAGATCTGTCAAAAACGACGCTATCTGGGTTTCCAAGTCTGATGAGATTCTTCTGGATCTCTGGAACCAATTGTCAAGTACGAGTTTTCTCATCTCGTGACGACTTCAGGTCGTTGTAAATTTCAATTCTTACTGGAATTTGGTGGGGCGGGCGCTTCAGGCGCAGTGGAGAGACAGAAAATGGACATACCTTTTATTTATGTGATATTTTGGCTAGCAGAGGTAAGGTAGGTAACGCTTTACCAGATTTATGGCGTTGTGCTTTCCATTGACATGAGAGCTTTCTCGTGCTGATAACGTGTTGTAAAATCGACGGTGGGTGCAGTGGAATAAATGAAACAAGACAAAAAATTTACGAGATTCCTTTACAGTTAGTGTGACTGGAGTACGTCCTCGGGGCAGCAGTTGTGCTTTCATTATAATTTAGAATAATAGGAGTACAAAGATAACTTTCTCTATTATCTCCTATCCTCTTCCTCTCCTTTCTCTCTTCCTCTCTTTTTCTCTCATCATTTCTTCCTTCCTATCTCTCTGTGAGTCTTCCCACTTTGATGTTGTGTGGGGTTTGTATTTGTATAGAAAATGGGAGTAGTGTGTAGCAAGCTTCAACAACCAAAAGGAAAGGCCAATTATTTAATTATTTGAGTGGACATACACTGTTCTACAACATAACATGGTATTTAGAAATTTTCCCTTTGATACATGTTGGCTACGTGTGCCAACGTGGGACTTCCAGACATCATTGATAATCTCGGAAGGGAGAAATTTTTAATTGTGATATGAACATGAGTGGTACATCATGTGTTTTTATGTAACTGATGAGAAATTTTACTTTTTAAGTTAGTAGCTTTTTAACACACATATCCCACTATTTGTATAATGACACGTGGTGTACCACCTCGTGTGTTGGTCACAATGAAAAATCTATTGAAGTAAGGGGTATTTCCCCCTTTTTTTTCTCTCGAATTCTCTCTATAAAAAACTAAACCACGGCCGCCACTTTTCTTATCCCCCAACCGCCGATCTCGTCACAGTTTGGTATGAACCAAATGGATTTCTTTTTAAAACAAATCGACATGACTATGAATATATCAGCCGACTTGAAGGATTCGATGGTCACATACATTATTTGAGTATATCATGTGTGTGTTTTTTTTTTTATTGGTGAATTATCATGTGTGTGCTTTAAGTAATAGTTGGATCACCTGCAAAGAACTCTATGGTCTCATTTTCTAGAAAGTAATGACAACTATCATGCATAAGACTAAGGGCTGGTTTGGTATTGCTGTGCTTTGAAAAAAAGCTGCTGTGAGAATAAGCGGCTGTGAAATAAAGCCAGTAGAGTGTTTGGTAAACTTTTTTGTGAAAGTGCTTTTGAAAAAAAAAGCAGGATGATAGTGTGTCTTTTCATTAAAGGAGCACTGTAACTCCGTGTGCTTTGAAAAAACTGGCTTTTTTTCAAAGCAGCAAATAGCAGCTTCACCTTTTCCTTTGATTTTCAGCTTACTCTCACAGCAGCTTCCAAAATAAGCTTTTTTTTTTTCAGTTTACCAAACACAAAAATGACCCTCAGCTTTTTTTCACAATGGTTTTTTTTAAAATCACCTCAATCCCAAACGGGGCCTAAAAGCAACCACACAAAAGTCTTTTTAGCCACCCACAAGTCGAAAACTACTATTGTGCATGTCACATAAGCAAAATTTTCACTCTTCCAACTTTATAGCCAATCGTGCAAATTATTGGTAAATTTGACGGTGATCGCATTAACCTTCTCTTCAATGCATGACATGTGGAAAAAATCATCATCAAACAGAAGTTTGATATTATGCACGTGTCCCATCTTTATTTGCGCGTTTGTGTTTGTTTTTTATTTCAATAGGTTGAAGAAAAAAAGCACTGGCTCGAGCAAGAAGGCTGCAAGGGTCCGAACAAGCTTAAGAGGATTGCAAGTTGCAAGTACCTTCTTCGTTTTCATGTATGTTTCACTTTTACTATAATTTAGTTTTTCTAGTTATAATTGTATAAATTTTTCGTTCAATTTAATATAAAGGTTCAGCTCAAAAGTTTAAGATTATAATCCACTTTGTTTCGATTTTTGATCTCTTGGTGTTTCAAAGACAAAAAACAACACACGATCCACATATCAATAAAAGGCTTTTAGTCCATTCCCATTTATAGAATTTTGCCGACTCTACTGCTGTAAAAGGGGCTTAATAGTGCAAAAGTACGAAACGAAACAAAAAGAGGAAGGGCGAGAGAGAGATGCAATTGGGTATTTGTCGGATCGAAGCTCTTCCATACCCTTCCATTATCTCCACCGACTCCTTGACTAAAAGAGAGTGTTTTTTGTCTCATTTTCTCATCATAGCTAAAGCTAGAAAGTATGTTTCATATTTTCCCTGTCCGCAACTGGGATTAGGAGAAAGAGATTGAGAGAACAGAGGTTGATCTAAATCATCAAACACAAGCATATGCCTGTTTCCATTTGTCAACTTACAATTTGAATAGCTTGGGTAACGATTATGTTGACCCTAAAAACTATCAGGTTTACGTGGCCCACAGACCGAGTAATTAATAAGCTAACTACGTCATTCGGTTATGTGCAGGGCGTGCCAACTCGACGGCCAAGCTCGATCGGGGAGTAAAATGTGTTGTTGTGTTGGGCATTGCTGACTTCTTGATCCTGCTATTGCGGCCGAGGTAGAAACACATCTAGCCTTTTGGGTTCCAGAGCCTGAAGACACGGCTGCTAGTTCTGTGAGTTCACAAATCGTCAACGCCGGGTTCGGTCATGGTGATTATATTCGTAATAGTATAACCACACCGAACTAGCACCAGACTATATGGACACAAGTACTCGAAAGTGACGTATGTCTTGATAGTAAATGTGGTTCAACCGTCGGAATGTCGGACTCTGAATCTCACTTGCGAATATCCAATCATAAAACAACTCGGCGTTCAATGTGCCGAGCCTAGTAACCTGTAACACCTCACTTCGTTGAGAAGGTTGATGAGATGACCTCTACCAGCAAGAACTCGAAAGTCACTATCGACCGGGACTTGGATAAATAACCAGTAGGTCTCGAAGCAGTGCTGTTTATCCAAACTGAAGGAGGTTCTCCTCGGTCGGTTGATTCTACGGCTCCAGTACTGTGCTACATTGGTTCTGTTAATAAAGCTTCTTGGTTTCGGTGTTGTGCAGGTTGAATGGTAAGAAGATGTTGAGATTGTTGACGGGGAAGCGTCTGGTTTTTGTTGGCGATTCTCTCAACAGGAACATGTGGGAGTCTTTGCTATGTGTTCTTAGAAACTCAGTGGATGATAAGAACAAAGTCTATGAAGTTTCTGGTAGGCAAGAATTTCGCACAGAGGGCTCTTACTCCTTTGTTTTCGAGGTATGTTAGTTTCAATTTCATAGACTCATAAATTCTTCCTTCTTACCTTTCGGCCTTGTTCATCTTATTAAGTAATATTAATGTATTTGTTGTTCAATGGATCAATAGGAGTACAACTGTTCCGTGGAGTTCTTTCAATCACGGTTTCTAGTTCAAGAATGGGAGATGCTGGAACCAAGTGGATCAAAGAAGGAAACGCTTCGCATTGATTTGATTGAGAGATCCTCTGACAACTACAAAAATGCAGATGTTCTCATCTTCAACACAGGTCACTGGTAGACTCATGAGAAAACTTCCAGCGGGTAATTCTCCTGCTCCAATTCACTCTATGTCATGGATTTTTTGGAAAGTAGTCACTAGGCAGCGAAGTTAAAATATTTATAAATCTTGCAGGAAGGGTTACTATCAAGAGGGTAGCCATATTTATGGTGAACTGAATGTTGACGATGCATTTCGCAAGGCTTTAACGACATGGGCTCGATGGATAGACACCAATGTAAATCCTAAGAAAACTGCTGTTTTCTTCCGGGGCTATTCACCTTCTCACTTTAGGTACATTTTGAAGACATGAAATACTTCAACTTGGTTAACAAATGTATTGCATCTTGCTAATCTTTTTACTCACAGAGGCGGAGCATGGAATTCTGGAGGGCATTGCCATGGCGAAACAAAGCCAACTACCAGCTTGGAATCCACGGAATATGGAGGAGCGTATCCAACAAACATGAAAATCTTTGACTCGGTACTCAAGGGGATGAAGACGCCAGTCAACTATCTGAACATTACAACAATGACTGATTTTCGGAAGGATGCTCATCCATCGATTTACAGAAAGCCGAATTTAACTGAGGAGGAGCGAAAACCGCCTATGATCCACGATTGCAGTCACTGGTGCCTCCCTGGCGTTCCTGATACATGGAACGTGCTAATATATGCTCAACTCCTCAAACATAACCAGAAACAACATAGACAGAAGAAACAGCAAAATCAGAGGACAACTTCTTAAATATGGAGAAAAAAAATTATAAAGTATACATGTTTTGTTGGAAAGCTCACCGTACGGAGAATATCGAACAAGTATGATCAAACGAAGGATAAGAGCAATAGTTGTAGACTTGTAGTTAGAAAAAGAGATGGCGCAATGTGGTTTAGTGAAAAATTGTGTTTCCAGTTGTGGGATAGAGGTGGTGAGGGAAACAGGATTTAGCCCTTGCGTCCTCTCTGGTGCATTTGAAGGAGAGGCTTGAAAAATCGGTGACTCGAAACAGCGAGTGCCGGTGATCATGGTGGTCGCAGAAGCTGGTTTTGGTATTGAGAAGGTCATGAATATAAAATTCTGGTATGGTACTGGTTTAACGCCACAATGTGCAGTTGTGGTTGCAACTTTAAGAGCCTTAAAATGCCTGCATGACTGAGACTGTGGCTGAAGCCGGTTACATGAAATTTTCCAGGCATGTCTCAAACACGAAACACTAGAGTGTAAGCGTGGTTGTTACTGCAAACAAATTTTCGATTGATAGTGAAGCAGAACTAAATGCAGTCAGAAATATGCAGCATTGTGCAGCCGGGGCATATGAGCACTTAATTATACTCATCATGCACTTTGTGGAAAAGAAGCGGTTAGTCACTTCATCCCATTAGTCTTATTATTGGCAATAGGAATTGGACATCAATTTCTTGTATCCGAAGAAATGAGTCACTATTAATATCGACACATATGAGATCGCCAGCCCTTCGGGAGTTCCTCTATTTTCTTCTTGCTTGCAATTGCCTTCGCCTATGAGCGGTAGGTCTCGGGTTCGAGACTTGGGAGCAGCTTCTCCATAAATGGGGGTAAGGCTAGCCGACATTCACCTCTCTCAGACCTTGTGTAAAGCGGGAGCCTTGTGCACTGGGTACGACCTTTTGCATTGCAGATCCTACTAAAACTTTCAATCCCAGTTTTATACTGTGGTTGGAACAACGAGCACAATGCCGGATTTTCTGACTAGGCCTCGCTTCTATCACATTGATCTTGACACCACCTATCGGAAATTAGGTTATCAGTCTTGCTTGAAAATCAATGTATATGGCTCTCATATGCTCACCGAAGCAACATTTTCCGACGTCCATCAAACAAAAGCCGGCCACCATCTCTTCCCCCTTACAAATTACACTTCTGCAAACTTCTGTTATTGTGCTCTTTGATTGTTATGTCAGTTTTTTGCATTACCAAATAACAATGTCACAAATAAAAACAAATTTTTGTGTCACCTTTTTTAGCTTGCTACGTACAAATGCTGTTAAAATTTTACCACATTATAATTTCCTCTTTCAAACATTGACTCCACTCTTTTTTTAACTATTATTAAGGAGAGAGAAGACTCGAAACTATTACATTAATTTAAGAGATGTGGAGTTTCAAACCCGAAATGCATGTAGGGTTGGAAGCTTCTCGGGTTCGAAACATCGAATCCACTCTGCATGCCACTTTTACTACGAAAAAGGGAACCACTTTAATTTTGTTTTATTATCATTCTTGGCTGTTCATGATTTCACTTTAACTACATAACATTTAATTGATAATTACTCAAATCATAAAAATATTGGTTCAGTGTTAGAACATTTATCTTGGTATTCTAATGAAAGAAAAAAATAATTGAACTCATACTGCTATCATATTTATGATATGGATAAGTGTGTATAATACCTGTATATAGAAATCAGACAACTTAAATTTAATATTTATAACACTACTGATACACTAATGTGAGTTTACTTCGTTAATATCACACTTATGAGCGTAATATATCACAATCATAAGTTCAATATATTGCTATCAAACTCAATTTTTTTGACCAACTGCAATGCAAGAGTGTGACTCCTATATATGTAAATATAGGGATGTGATATCTACACACCATTTTTTACTTCTCTCACACCCTTTTAATTTTCGGCCGTCGGATCGGATGAATTGAAGAAGATTAAAGGACAAAAATTAACAAGAGGTGTGATACCCTGTAAATAAAAAAAGGTGTGATAAGATTGTTAATAAATGGATATACTGTTATAAACGAATGAATTGGTAAAATTATCAAATAATGTGTGGTCACGCAAAAAAATTACTCCAAATCAAAGTGAGAGGGACGTGAGATATTTTTCTTACAAAAAAAAAAAAAAATATGCCACTTGTTCATAAATTATTATTACATCTGCATTTGTTTTTTATGTTCAATTACATCTGCATTCTTATATTCAAAAATAGCAACTTTCAACCGTGCAAGTAGACTAAAGGTTGATTTGATATTGCTGTTATTTGAAAAAAAATTACTTCTGTTGTATTGTGAGAATAAATAGTTGTGAAATAAAGCAGTGTTTGGTAAACTTTTTTTGTAAAACTGCTTTTGAAAAAAAAAGCAGTATTATAGTATTTAATAAACTTTTATGTAAAACAGATATAAAAAAAAGTTGATTTTTCAAAGTTGGGTTTTACAGCTTTGTGTTTTTGATTTTTTTTCCACTCAAAACTGTAAAAAAAAACAAAAACCAAATGTTTACCAAATATAAAAACATTTTTTTATAGCCATTTTTTTTCACAATTACCTCAATACAAAGAGCTAACCACCAAACTGAAAAGTGGTCTTCACAGCAGAAACTGTATGGAAAATTAATTCTTCCACCCACACAGGTCACAGGCTCGCAAACAATGGCGGATTACTCAACCCAGACAACCCCAAAACCCACAAAGCACCACCACTCCCCCACAATCCCAAGACCAGAGGCCTTCTCCAAGCCCTCTCTTTCTTCCCCAATCTTCTTCCCCTCCAGAAGAACCGCCGCCTTTGCCTATGGCTTCTCGTTCGTCTGCATCGCTTGCACTTTCTTCCTGGTTTTCAACCCATCTGGCTACTCTTTCCCTTTCGGCTTCAAGAACATCTTCAAAACCCCTTTTGAACTTTCCCGGGAAACCCCATTTTCCTGGAAAGCTGAATATTTCCCGCGTTTGGATGAGAGTGTAGGTTTGCAGTCTGATATGGCTAGTGCCCAACTGCCGAACCCAATTCTTTTCTTGCCCCAAGAATCCAATCAGACTTTGTCCCAGAACACTACGATTCAAGTAACTGGGAAAATGGGATTTTCCGGGAAACTGGAGGGTTCAAGAAAAAATGAATCTTTTGCTAAAGATTCTGATGGGGTTTTGGGGCAAGCAGTGGCATTGACCTCGAAAGAGAGTGATGATGCTAGTGAGGCATTGTCTGAATCTGAGAAGCAGAGCAATCAAACTCAGCCCGGTTATGAATTTTCGAGGGATGATTGTGACCTGTTTGATGGAATGTGGGTGAGAGATGATTCGTATCCGCTTTATGCTCCGGGTTCTTGTCCTCTTATTGATGAATCCTTCAATTGTTTTCTTAATAAGAGGCCGGATAATCGCTACGAAAAGTATAGATGGCAACCCAAACATTGCAATCTTCCAAGGTGCAGGGCTGTTTTTACTTCTGATTTAAAAGCATGTTTTGTTTGTACATTGCATTGCATTTGGTTTTGCTTCTAAAAAAGGTCGTACCCAGTGCACAAGGCTCCCGCTTTACGCAGGGTCTGGGAAAGGTGAATGTCGGCTAGCCTTACCCCCATTTGGTTTTGCTTCTAAATTAAGGTAATTTTGCATGACTAGTTCGACTTCTAAAGTTAGCAGTTTTAGGAATTTGTGCTTGTTATGGTTGTTTTTCATAAGTGCAAATTTACTTGTTTGCAAATTAATCTTGTGAGGATCAATATAACAATTACTTGTTATGACAGTTTAAAATTCACACTGAATTTCTGTTTTTAAAAACAACGGAGTTTCGTTGTGTGTACTAATGTGTCTGCGTGTGTATGTTTATGTTTTATGCTTATGCATTCGTGTATTGTTTTTGTTGAATAAAGCTTGTTGGTTCAGATTTGGTGATGCCGGTTTCTGGTGAACTTTTTGTGCAGGTTGGATGGTAAGAACATGTTGGGACTATTGAGAGGAAAGCGACTGGTTTTTGTTGGGGATTCTCTTAATAGGAATATGTGGGAGTCTTTGCTTTGTCTTCTTCGAAATTCAGTGGATGATAAAAGTGGAGTTGTTGAAGCGTTGGGTAGGAGCGAATTTCGTTCAGAGGGATCTTACTCTTTCGTATTCAAGGTATGTTCGCTATCTTGGAATTCAAGGTATGTTCTCTGACTTCGAATTCATAGCCTGATAAATTCTTCCTTCTCTCCATTGGATTTGTGTCGTTGCTGAATTTCATTTTGACCAGAGTGAATTAGATAGTTCACAACA